CCATGTCAAACTAGCAAATCGGCTGTGGTGCTGGCTGGGAGGTCGGTCACCAAGTGGGACAAGAGAAAGAAGAAGAGGGGGGAAGAGAGAGCCAGCCATAGACACCCATCAGACTCAGCCAGGACCTCAGCTCAGCAGCAAGACACTGGCTAAAAATGTGTAAATTATGTGTATATTTGTGTGTGTCAGTAAGTATGTTGTGTATTTGTGCATATATCCCAGAATCAAACACTACACCACATACAAACACACCCCTGCATTCAAGTGCAAACATTGCACAAAATTATACCACTGCAATCTAATGGTAACAGTACAAACACAGAACTGCATTCACTTCATACAAACACACCCCTGCATTCACACACATACTCCATACATCGGTGTATTTACCGCAAGGCTGACAAGGCATTTGCCCTTCGCTACACTTTCAGGGGGGCGGCAAAAAAAGCCGCCTCCCAATCGCCCTGGCAAATGCCTTGCCAGCCTCTTGTCCTGGGGGGACCAGGAACTGGCCGGCTGGCCACCTCAGGGCCCCCCAAGCTGGCATGCACTGATGTTTCAAGCGGCAAGGGAGCACTCTCCCCTGAGTTCTACCTTGCTCAACTTCCTTGCGCTCACCGCAGTGATGCCGGAGCCAGAATATAACGTCACTCCGGCTCCGGCATCACTAAGAGAGACGGGAGGGAACTGGGCAGGAGGATCAAAGCTCTCTTGCCACCCGCCTCAAAAGCTTGCCCGCCAAGCTGCAGCCATCCCCACTCAACCACAGGGAAAAATCCACTACAGCACTCCCAAAGGTACAGCACAAACAGTATCTAATACACACAAACACTACATCCATTATACACAATCTAATTCACTTCCACTATACACACCACATTCAGTCCTGCATCATTGTCAGAGGACCAGGTAGGAGTCCTGTGGGCGGACACGTGGGCTTGCCGTGGGTGGGAGGGGGGCCCAGACCTTGTGCTTTGTCAGGGGCCACAAAATTTCTGGTGGCAGCCCTGTCCCCTCCAACCACTAAAATACACTGCCCCCACACCCAATTTAGCACATTGCGCCCTCCCACCATTCTAATACACTGCCCCCCATCACCACTCTAATACACTGCCTCCTACTTCCCCCAATTTAATACACTGCCCTACCCCCTACCCACCACTATTATATACTGCCTCACTCCCTCCCCCTCCCCCACTTTAATACACTGCCTCCTACTTAATACACTCCCCCAAATTAATACACTGCCCCTCCTTCCCTCAAATTAATACACTGCCCACCCTCAAATTAATACACTGCCCCACCTCAACTAATTTAGTACACTGCCACCCTCCCTGAACCTTAGATGTTCCCTATCTATATCCAAGTTATGCTTCCTGCAATAAAAAGTTTGTTTGCCCTAGGGTAAATTAAAGGGCGTATTGCATAATGTAGCCAGGTTTTGGAAACATTCTCCAACTCTTTTTGGATCATAACCCATATTTAGTTTTTTGTTTTTTTTTAAAAAGCTGTGTTTAATAAAGTATCCTTTCCTAAGGGTACATATTTGTGACAAACTCCCCTTCCCACGTGAGTTTGCCACGAGCTCCTGGAGGAGCCTGCTTGCCAGCCTGCTGCCCACATACTATGGGCCCTGCAGGGAAACCTGTAAAAGGCTGTTTAACTGGCTTGGTTCGTGTGATTCCACTATGCTGTTCGACAACCGAACCACCGTACGAACTATGGACCACCCGGGAGCTTGTTAAGCCCAATGGATACATTGTAACAATCCTAACCGCAGTGCTCTAATGGTTCATCTGGGTGGCCGCCGTTTGTATGCACGAACGCAGGCAGCGGTGTTTGGTCGTCGAGATCATGGAACAGACAACGGACACTGAAACCCTCTAACACCACTGAACTTAGATGATCACCTGCGTTCGGTTTTATATAAGAAGAACACTGTTCGGTGGGATCGTTCGTCTGGATGAAGGAAACAAGCTCCACGGTATGGCAATGGATTCTGTTCGGTAGTTTGTTCTCTTTTAAACTACCGAACTTGACTGACCGCTACCACTTTTTCCCTGGAACTAATTTGGGCAGGAGCCTAGTGTGTAGTTGGTGATTTTTGGATATGTTGGTCACCGAGATCGGGGCTATCAGCGGATATAACTTTTGTGGGGTATTCATGTAGTTTAAAGGTACTTTTGGGGTGTCTGTGCAATGTGGGTTTTTTTGTGCCTGGAGATAATTGAGGTTTGTACAGTTCCTGACTCAATTATCTCCCAGGCATAGGGGAGAGATTATCCTGTTTTGTGTGGGAGTGCTTGTCTGTGTTCAGAAATGTATTTCAGCTTGCACTCCAAGAACTATGTGTCGTCCTTGTAAGGACTAGAGCTCCCAGGACTGAGTGTCGTCCAGTGCCTGGGGGTGGATAGAGCGAGTTCCCTATTTGGCTCCAGGAGGGAGCAGTTCCAGGACCACAGTCAAGCCACGGCGACTGTGGGCAGAAGTGCTGCGGTTTGTCACCTACTCCAGCTGGGAAGAGGTCCTTGGTGGAGGTACCCAGCCAGGGGTACAGGGAGCTCTGTTACAATATTAAAAAACAGTCCACTCAAAAAAATAATTTTTACATATTACAAGACTACTTTAAAAGGATTCAGTTATGCCATATTGTGTTAAGCCCACCACTGTGTCACAGTAACTCAATGTAGATGGGTCCTACACTGAAAAGATGGCAGATGAATATGCTAACTGCAATACTTACTGCTTCCAGAGACTTCGCAATTGCATGCTTTCCAGTTTGGATCACCTATAGTGGATGGATGGGGTGCTGAGCCCAATAAGAATCTGGTCTGGATTCCAAAAATAAAAAAACTGGGAGCAGATCCAGAACATGCATTTTCTCCTAAACAAATATAGGGATTGAGTTACACCATATGCTTCTGACCATATTGTGTTAAGCCAAACACTATGCCACAGTACCCCAATATTGGTGGGTTCTACATTAATACTTCAAGAGAAAAGAAAAAGAACTACTGCCATAGAATAGGTAGGGTTAAAAATTAACTTTTAATAGTCTAATTAAAATGAAAAGCCCCTTGAAAAGCCGCCTTACCGGCGAAACGCGCGTCGGGGTGTTTTCTCTGGGAGATTGCTCCCTTTTCTCAAACCACCATTAATTAATCTTTATATATCACGTAGTGGGGTCATTTTGGACCGTTCAGTATAGTAATTATTTTTACATAGATAGTTTATTGGGGTTTGGGGTTTTCTCATCAGTACTTTCTACCTTCCGACTAATAGCTTACTCAGTAGTACCGCAGCTGATTTTGAAGGCATAGTGAGACGATTTACTTAGATAGCAATTACTAGTATTTAGACACTAGCAACTGCAGTTTTAGTTTAAAGCAGTGATTCTCCTATTTTGAATACGTAGAAATAGTGCACAGTATTCATTGTGACGTCTGGCAGATTCACTTCGTATTTACTTACTCTTTGGCCAGTTAGCTTATTTAGTGGGGTCTTGTAGAGGTAGGTGCCCATGAAGGCACAGCTAGTTTTTTGTTATAGCTTGTTGTAATATTTTTTTTTACAAACTTAAATTGGGATTTTCATTAATTGTTTCTACCTCTTATAGACAAGTACATATTGGTTTGCAGCACTAATCAGTAGTAAGCAGCAATTTGCAACTATTTAGCCGTTTGAAAATATCAATTTAGAACATCTTTATATACTATTTAACTGCTGATTATATGTTAAATGATCAAGTTGCAACAATTTGGACATTATAATCATTCAATTGATGTGTATTATTTTGTGTATTATTCACCTCTTTATACTCTTTTTGGGTGTATTGAGTGTTTTTATATTCACTCTTTATCTCATTTTAATTAGACTATTAAAAGTTAATTTTTAACCCTACCTATTCTATGGCAGTAGTTCTTTTTCTTTTCTCTTGAATTATTTCAGTCAGGGTTAACCCCTTTACTGCCTAAGTTTCAATATCATTAAGCTTCCACTTTCTTTTTCTTTCTCTCTACATTAATACTTTGCTAAGGGTACCTGCAGGGTGAAATCTGATACAATATGACTGTCATCTGCTCATTTGTATGTCAAACTTGGGACTCTTGGATAGTTGTGGAAACTTGATTTCTTGAGTTTCTGTATCCAACTGGGACTCTCCAAAGTATAACTTGAACTATGCAGGGGATATAATACAATATTTTTTCTATATATAAATAGTTTGATCTAATTTTTTCATGTCCTAATCTCCCAAAGATAAGTGGGATTTTCTTTCCCAAGCATCACGTTCTGCAATTTTAATGACAGCAGATCATATAACTTCTGCCTTGAACTGTAACTCCCAATAATATGATGTCATTATAATTAAGCCATTGACATAACCCTACACTACTAACACGCTATTCTATATATTGACCTCTGGACTAAGCGTAAGTATTAATCCCTAAGTAAAGAGACTCTCCAGTGCCAGGAAAACAAACCGTTATCCTGGCACTGCAGGTCCCCTCTCCCTCCCACCCCCCATCCCAAATTGCTTCAGTGACTTGCCTGTATCCAGTGCTGTTGTCTCTCAGCGCTGGGTCAGGGTCCGCTCACGCTCCTCCCCCGCCGACGTCATCCGACGGGGGAGACCTATTGAGCATGCGCGGCCACCAGTGCTTTCAATGCTTTCCTATGGGGATTTCAGCGACGCTGGAGGTCCTCACATAGCGTGAGGACATCCAGCGACACTATAGCACACTTTTCATGTGCTATAATCACGGACGTGCCCTCTAGTGGCTGTCTAGTAGACAGCCACTAGAGGAGGAGTTAACCCTGCAAGGTAAATATTGCAGTTTATGAAAACTGCAATAATTACACTTGCAGGGTTAAGGGTAGTGGGAGTTGGCACCCAGACCACTCCAATTGGCAGAAGTGGTCTGGGTGCCTGGAGTGTCCCTTTAAGGAAGGAAGGTGAGTAGTCAGTGTAGGACTCACCTAAGAGGTTTGCCTTGACGTGGCAGGAGGGCTTCCAACTAATGGCCATTGGAGTTACTAAATAACCTCCATTTATTTAAATATGCATGGGGATTTAGGAGGAGTGCAGGTAACTTTTTTCTTTGGTTTTTACTATATGTATTGGGGCTGTTGTCTACTATGGTCATTGCTGCTATATAATCCTTTAACTGTGCATGATATTGATTGGGAATAGAACCAATATTTAACAATTCTGGATTTAAATCATTTTTCTCGTTATATTTGTATCCTCTCAGCAAAATGCCTTCTTTCTTAGATGGTGGGTGAAATCTACCAGCTACTTAAGTCACGCAGTGTAAGTATTAGTTGGCACAAGATGAGCTAAAACCAGCATGAGTTCTGAGCGTGACCCACCGAAGGGCAGGCTATTTTAGTTGCTGTCCGTTCTCAGAATACTCTTGCGACCTGTTTTTTGCTCTCCATAAGTATTAGTTGACCATACCCATGTATGTGAAATGTCAGTGTTTTAAACCCTTCAGTCAGGGTTGGCCTGGTACCCTAAAAGAAAAGCACCAACCTCATTAACATTAACCTCATTATTGTCACCATATTGGCCTCATTCATATTGACCTTACTCATTAATGCATGCCATGTATATGCATTGCTTGGTGTAACATTTACAACATTGGCCATCTTTAATTGTTTTTTTTTCAGGGCTTATTCTGATTTCTGGATTTTGACATTGGCTGACCTTGAACTAAACTAGTAGAACAGAGCTGTTCTAAGACTTCCTGTTTTGGAGAGACTGAGTTTCAAGAAGTGGACAGACATCTGGTTAGAAACCAAGAAGAGACAAGTTTAAAAACCGCTTTAGCCTTAGGAATACAAACATGTAGTCCAAATGCTATAGTGGAGTGTTTCCCAAACCAATCCTCATGGCTCACCAACAATCCAGGTTTTGTCAGTATCTCCACTGGAATAAACAAGGGAAATAAATATAAATCCTGGATTGGTGTGCCATGAGGACTGCGATAGTGTTACTTTACCTATAGGTGGCCTACATCCCATGCTGTAAGGATTTAAAACGTGAGTTTTTGTGCCTTACATCCTGTGGTGTGCCAGTCTCTATACCAAATGTCCACCTCCTTGGCTGAGATCATCAAACTTGATCTCAGCCCATCCAATGCTTTTTCATAGCTTTTTGGCTGATATGCCTGTGGTGGCAGTCAGTGTGACAGCCACGAGAGGCACTTAATCCTGCAATATAAACATTGCTGTTCCTCCAGAATGACCTCATAGAGGCCCCTTCATTGATATGAAATGGTTTGGGTGTCTATAGTGTCCCTTTAATGACATGAGTCAAGAAGTAACTGGAGAACAAGCGTAAAGTGGAAATATAATGGGGAAATTCATAATTAATGGTACCCAAACCTAGCTCAGTAGTTAGAAGAACAAGCTGACATAAAAGGAAGTATAAAAAGAGTGGTAGGAGAGGTTACAAGGCTAGAACCACATCTGACTGTGGCAAACCTTTTGTGAAGAGAAGACGGTACAAGTGGTCAGATTCTAAATCAGCAGAAGGAATTACAATGTTTATTTTAGAAGCATACAGTGTGGGTCTATTCACTGCATGTATCTACTGCTACCACATTTTCTTTCCTTTTTATAAGTATTGCAGTTATGAGGTGCTTTTTTTATTATCTAAAGATGTTTTCAGTGTGTATGTTTACATTATTTATTTTATTTCCATTGAACCTCTTTTCTTTCTGACTTGTTAGGTTGTTATATTATGATTACATTGACATGTCATCAACAGATTGCCCAGCCATTGCTAGAATGCCCTTCTTAGAAGGTAGTTATAATAATCTGTTTTGTTACCTCACAGTCTTCTGCTTTTACACTGATGGGAAAAAAATTAGTTTTGTTAAACCGATGCTGTGTTAGCATGTAGAGTAAATTATCTGAAAAGCATGGTTACTAATAATTATATTAATTTGGAATGAATTCCTTTCTTCTGCAGACCGTTAAGTTAACTGCAATCAACGAATGTCATTTATTTGTCAAAACCAAAACCAGTCCCTGTTGGAAATTAATAGTACAAAATCACAAATACAAACTGGTTGCCCTAAAAACTGGACAGCATTCAGAGACAAGGAAATCGCTGAGCGTTGCAAAAACTTCCTTAGAAGTTTAGTTTTCTTGTTGGAAATAGAATATTCGAAGTGTGGGAAGTTGTTGCCAAAATGTCTGTTTTGGTATGTGGTTATGGTGGGACTTTGCAGTTGAAATGTTTTTATTTATTTTTTAGCTGTCACGCACATAGATGTCTGTGTGTTCATGGCATTACATGTATGTGTCTATAAACCATTGCATATTGTTTATGTGAATCTCCATATTACCACATTGCGTAACATGTATTATGCAACAGTTTAATTATATTCATGTTGCCTTTAAATTCTTTTTTTTTTTCTCCTAATTTATTTTCAGTGTTTTCTACAAATTAAATCTAAATATCTAACATTCAATGATGCCATGGACGAATGCACAATTTATGGAGGAACCCTTCCTACCATCCTGAGCCAAGCAGAACAAGGTATCAACTAAAAATGATCTTTAAAAATGCTGTAATATTGGAAAAATTCAAATACTTTTAACTGCCATGATTGGCTCATGCCACCATGACCACTACACCATATACACTTTATTGCACTATGAGGTTTTTTCATTTGGTTTTGTTTTTTCAATCTTTATGTTGTACATTAGGCACTTTTGGAAACATTGTTTACCATGACTCTAATAAATCCCCATTGTATCCTGATCTGTGAGTGACCTACCCATTGCATAACTTTCTATATATTGTAGATCAAAATACACCAAAGACAGGCTAGCATGCTAAATTCATCACATTATTTCATGGAGCATAGAATTAGGGCTTTGATATAATAAATGATTCAATAGTGTTAAAAAAAACCTTTAAAAAATAATTATATGCAAAAATTTCCATAGACCTTAATGGTGAGTTTTTCTAATTGTGATCTTTTGGGAAGCTAATTAATTTGACTCCTGTATTTTACTCTTGGGTAATAGGCAAACCTTGGAACAAACCACACACATACTTCATTGGCTCTTGAATGCTCCATATTTTGACATCCCCTGTGTTGTTCCATTTTTGTGGGTGTTTATCACTACATCATATAAGGATATGTGTCCAACATGCAGTTTGAAGCTGCCCTTCTCAGAAATGTCAGTAACTAGCGACACTATTTGAAGAAGGAGAAGTTCTGTTGCAAAGTTCTAAAAGTAAAATGGGAAGAAGAAATAATGAATTAGTTTCCATGTTGACTGCTCCAAGTTTAGAGTTCAGCTCCGCCAGTGATCCTTAAACAAAACTCCTAAATTGTTTCATCTCCAAATATGACACCTCAGTTTTGGATTGGCTTGAGTCTACCTGAGCATACTAGAAGAGCCAGATGGATTGATAACCAAGATATAACCTATTGGAACCATCATCCAATTGTAAAAGGGAAGATTAAAAGGTTTGGCGTTGATATAAGTGTCGACTCAAGAATGAAAATTGGCATACATGGAAAATAACAAAAACACTTTAAACTGAGGTTAATGTTTAAAAAATCTGTTTTGTTTTTTAGGCATTTAACAAGGAGCATAATAGACATTGTTATTACATTGCTTGGAGTCCTCAGGAAGCGCTAGGAGCATCCTTGACGGAGGTACCCAGTCGGGGTGCCCGTCGATCCGTTACAGGGATACCCCTGTGTAAGGCACAAACCAGTAGGCAGGCACAGGATGCGGGGCAAACAGATCAGCCTGATGGAGGGCGTCAATCAGTTCTCCTACCATTAATTCACCATCCAGGAAGATATGCCTTTAAGCAAACAGAGCTGAAATCCTGTTCAGTAGTTAGTCAAGGCTGCAACAGTATGCCTCCATTCAGCACAGGGTATGAGCCCTAAGACAATATTCCTTCAAGCAGGAAGTGTTGAAAATCCTGTCCAGGGGTTAACAGAGGTTGCCCCAGTATGTCTTCCCTCAGCCGAATAGTGCGGCTCACATATAGTAGGGGCCTCACCCCGGATGTATAGGGTATGAAC